TCTATAACTCAATAGTAAAACTTTATAGGTTATCAGGTAAAGATCTAAGATTCAAATTCATCTGATTACAAAAATTTATTACACTTTTCTTTCTAATTAAGCTATATAAATATATGATTCTAAAAATTGGAATCAAACAGAATCACAGGAAATCGCATAAGGTTTAAAATACTATTAAAAATGATGGTAGGATATACCTTACCTATTAAATTTAATATAAACTTGAGAATTGAATACAGAATTGAAAAGAATTATTAGGATTCTTATATAAAGATAAGACTTCTAATCTTTTTTGTAGTTTTGGAATTGTAATAAATCACAAAAAAGAAAAAAATTATATAAAGAAAAACTTTTGATCTAATTTTGATTAAATCTTATAATTTGTTATATAATAAAAATAACATCGCATTTAGATATATAGATTAAATTGTATTCCAACTTAATTAATTCTAATTGTTATTTTTTTTCTTCTATTAATTGCCTAAATAAGAAGTTTTGAAGTAAAGTATTGAATTGACACTACTTATGTAAAAATATGGCAACCATGTGATATATAGAAATTGCATTTTGCTTGATATTTATATCTTTAGATTTGACAGCTTATACCAACTGGTCTAAATCTAGAGTATTTATTAGAAGTTTAAAGAGAGTCAATTTGTTTATATTTGAATATATAGTTAAAATAGATTAGATCCTTAAGGAGTAATATTTCCCTTGATTATTAAATTCCTAGATTTGATAATTAATATTAAATGGTAGTTAAAACCAAAGTATTTATTAGGAAATATATACTCATATCAAAAGTATCTATTATTGCATATATTGTGTAAACAAAAAAGATATAATGTGATAGGTAACTTATATATAGATAATTAATAGTATATATTATAAGATATATAATAAGCTTTATAAGTTAGGTAGTTTAAAACTATTAGTAGGATTTTTATATCATATAACATTTTGGTATTACAAGAAAAAGTCATCAAGTAATAGATTTCTAAATATCAAATGAAAGTTAATAAGCTAGTATTTAGTTGTAATCATATATTATAAAGAATATTTGATGTAATAAAATTTGAATATATTAATAAAATTTGTATCTAATACTGTTCAACTTTAAAAAAAATAAAAATTATTATTATTAATTAAAAATTTATAAAATTCAAGTTTTTTTATATAATTTATATGTTTTTCATAATAAATAATATAAAATTAATATATTTTTTAAAACATAACATTTAAAAAAACAAATATAATATTTAAATAATATTGCTAATTAATATAAAAATATTTTAATTAAAATTATTTTATTAATACTAAAAGATTTATTTTTAATTATATATATATATTAAATTAATAGTTATTAAATAACAATACAATTTTTAATTTTTTAAAAAAATTTTTCAAAAAATTTTGAATACTATTGTATGTATAAATTTATTTATAAAAAAAAAAATTATTAAAAAGAAAATTTTAAATGAAATCCATAATACAATTAACAAGTTCATTTAATTTTTATTAAAAAGATATATTTTTTATATTAGTTTTTTTTTTTTTAATTATTTATTTTTTTAAAATTTTTTTTTTGATTTTTTATTATTTTAAAAATATAATTTTCAACTTATTATTAATTAAAATAAAATCTACTATATAAATAAATAAGATATGAAAAATCTACTATATAAATAAATAAGATATGAAAATAAAAAAAAATTATATTATTTTAATAATAATTAAAAATAATTAAAAATGTATTATTAAATAATATAATTGTTTTTTAAAGTCTCGCATTTAATGCTTATTTGAGATTTAAAATAATAATAATAATAATAATATAATTGTTTTTTGAAAAATTTATTACTGGTCAAATTTACTCATTTATTGAATCCTATTGGACATAACGTATGATGTAATTAATAGATTCACGTTACGTACTTTAAAAGTTATTCTTTGCACTCGTTTTCATCATTTTTCAATGGCATTTATTTCCCAACACGAATTTTCAGAGGTATATTTAAATATTTAACATTTAACTATCGGTTAAATAAAGTATACCGTAACTTACGGTTGATAATATTTTAAGAATGGATTATCATATCTTTTATGTACATCCCCCAAAGCGGTCGGTGATCTAGTAACCGCCGACGAGGTGTTAAAAACAAAACCGGAACTTGTTGAGTTATACGAGAAGCTTAATGTTTCCATAGACAACGTGCCTGGTGAATTTCAATCTATAAAGATGCCCAATGCTTACCGGTCAATGATCGAAGATTGTCTCGAGGAAAACCATTGTATTTATGCGCAAATATTACCTTAAGAAAGATACTTTATGATGAATGAACGATTTTTCAGTAAGGATAACCAATATTTATCTTGATTCAAGATAATGCCGTATTTGATCTCATAGAATCATTTCAAAATAGCACTTATCATCCTTCAGAGTATGAATACCTTTAGCTTTATTCATAGTTCTTTGCATAGAAGTTATTGTTAATGTGTTTAAATTATTGTCTAATCAGAGAACAGATACGAAGATTAATGGATATGATTGTGAACGATGAAGTTGAAAACCTTGATACTGCCACCAGGGCTTACAGAGTATTGCAGCATGTGTTACAAACCAGTGGAACTGAAGCATTCCAAAATGTTTGGAAACTCGACGAAAAAGAAGAATATAACAAAGGTTCATTTTGGAGCCAATACACAGATTTTTGGAGATTCATTGAAATCCAATTTAAGCCTCATCAGGATAATGATAAAGTAATTATAATTGACTTTATTTCTAAATACGCGTTACCCATTACTAAAATTCCTCCTCCCAAAACATAACATATTTTAGGAAGATAGGACGATCATGCTTCTCGATCATATCGTAAACGTGTTTGAAACTGATATCAGATTAAAAAAAGGTTCCAAATCAAATATCGATATTTGCGTTTTTGTACGAAATATATGAAATACAGTAACTAACAATGTTTTGTGTAGGAAACCTGGGAAGCACCATGCTATTGCATCTTATTCCAAAAAGCACTGGAAAATTACGTCATCCTATTCAAACTTTGATGTCACCATTTAATGAAGAAGAGATTTATACAGAGATTGCGCGAATTTCTCAACGATTGTTAGAACAGGTAACAATTTTAATGACGAATTATCGAATAATGAAGAAATTTTATTTTCTAATTCGTTCTTTTCTTTTTAGATTGTTCTTCTTTCTTTTTCGGGCTATATTTGTTTAGATGTTTTATTGACCGAGGTTTATTTGCAAATTAACAAGCATAATCCAGGTCAATTTCAACTATTTCTTCAGGTTAATATCATAAATATTATATTATTGTTGTATATTTTGAAATAAGTTAACATATTTCATTTCCGATATTTTTAGACCATAATTTCAAATGTATTTAGGTTTAAAATCCTTGATCGGGCCTTTCAGGACACGAGTTTAATACGAATTTCACATCAAGATAGGAATTATATACTCACCCCTATTAATATGACAAAGATTATAACTATTTACTTTTATTCTACACCATATTATAAGAATACCACTCGTTCTATTGCAACTTGGCGTCATATTTTCATGTTATATACCTTATTTCAGAGTTACATGAATTCTAAAGTACTTCGAATTGGTGACAAGGTTCATTGCGGATTGGACGAAGAAGAAGTCAATTTGATTATTAATGGGTTAGTGGATGAAAGAGTAGAAGAAATAGAGAATTCTCTTGAAGAAGAAAATATTGATTCTGATATAAAAAACCGTGCAGAGTTTTTTTTAAAAATGCTGAAGATTGACATAAAAAGAATTAAAAAATTGATTAATTAACAATCTTGCAGTTGTAATTTCAGCGATTAGGCGAATGATAATAAATAAGGCTTTATAGATTTAGCATAATTTCATGTAATCTTAGAAAAAATGATTTAAGAAACATAACGACTAATGAGTGAGCTAAAATTAAGTTTTGAAATAAATAATCTTAGACATTATATTCCCATTATAAAATTTGGATTTGTGTTGATTCATTAAGATTGAAATTTAACTTGCAACATATGATGTATCCCAGTACATCCAATGATATACTGTTTACTAATAAATAATGGAAGTTCAACACAGGACATAGGTTTTTTGCTACAAATAATTGCATTTGTAACAAAGCTCATGCGATACTACATCCCAGATATGAGGTAGGCACTAGTATATTGATAGTACCTTATTACATATATATATATATAATTTTATTTATTTACCATGGAAAATTTGAGTCTGAGAAACCACATTACATTTTCGTTGATAGAATTATTATTAACATTCTACATTCTATAATATTTCGTTTATATGAAGATTCAAATTCTAAAATCGATAAGTGTGATAAGTGTGATATTATTATTACTATCTTTGATTCTCTATCATTTTGAGCTGGTGTTATATGTGGTAAAGATGTATATAGAATTTTAAAGCTGAGATTTAGCTAAAAATTGGACAATTCAAAAGTTCTAAATATTTACTGAAAATATGGATAGAAAAGCATTTACAACATAACCATCATCACAGAAATCAAACAATCCTCTAAGTTTAAAAGTCATACTACTCCTCATTATAATTCATACCCAATCTCAGAAAAAATTCATTCCATATTTGTCCAAACATTGTCTTTTGTTCCCAGCATTGAATATATTTGCTTTTGAATGTTATCCATTCTTGCTGTAGCAAATGGTTGATAACTTCTTTATAATTACCAAATTGATACCGTAACAACTCCCAGTGAATGAGTAAGCCTTCCCATCTTTGATTGACTTGAGAATAAAGTAACATCTCGCTGGGCAATTGGTAGAACAACCTTGGATGAATCGATTCTATTGAAAGATTTCCCATCATATATTGCTGTTCTTGCCTAGTGCAACGTATCAATACTTTTGAATATATCTCAAAGAAAGGTTGATGTATTAGTGAAAGTCGAGCTAGCAACCAGGGATGCAACGTCCAAACTTTTGATTTCAAACTGTTGGAGGAAATCGGCTCCTGGATTGCATTTATCGCATCTTCACTAACAAGTGAAGTAATCCAATCCATCAATATACGATTCACTTTGGTCATAACTTCCGAATTTTCTTCATTGTATCGATTAGACAATATCGCAGCATGAAGTATTATTTCCTAACATATGGACAATTGTAAATATGCAAACTCATGGAAATGGGACGTATTATTTCTTACCATTCCACCTTGCAAACGAGTTGCGTGGTTGCACAATCGAAATTTTATTTGTTCATTCACAGATGGTTTGTATCCATTAAAATACTTGCAGAGATCTTGTAAAAGTATTCTAGCAGCAGTGCGCCTTGCGATGGTTGTGTGCAAAAGCTTATAAGAGAATTCGTGTCTCACAGCTATGAACAGATGGAAACCGTGAATTAATAATAACAATTGTATCGTCAGGTGACTCCTATGCGATACTTACCAGAC